AATGAGAAAGGCCTGCTGTTGGCTGTCTTTCTTAGAGGTTTCTTTTCCCTCTAAGTATTTCTATTTCTTTCTTATTTTCTTAAAGCTTATTTCTTTCTCAGTCCATGTTCTCTGAATCCTGCTCAAAGCACCATTTGTCAGTGGCATTCACTATCCCGCTTCTGACACCACTTGTCAGGGCCCGAGACTGGCCAGGTCTCGGGCCCAGCTTAGGTAGGTTCTGGACGCGGACCACTAAGCTACCTTGCTCAGGAACAGTTTCTCTTAGGAGCTTGAGGGCTATCTACTTTAGCTGGAGAGAGAGAGTGAGAGAGTGTCTTAGAGAGAATAAAGCAGCCTTCTTAGAACAGATAGGTCTTAGTCTTTAGCAGAGCTTGGTAATCTTCGGCAGAGAGATGCCGTGCTGGCGTTCTGCAGGTAGGAGAGGAAACAGAGTCAGCAAGCGTGTCCGTGTTAGAATGCATATGCTTTTTGACTGCCTGCTCCTCCAGCCTAATATAAGGCTGAGCTCGTGCCTCTCAACACCACAGGTGTAGAGACTGCCGATTCACCAATGCTCTCATCTCGCGAGCTCTCTCATGCTTGTTAGAACTAAATCTCTCTCCATGCTCTTTCACCAAGGAGTTCCATTACAGGTATTTCCTATAACTCACTCCTCCTAGCCATAGGCTATATAGGCTACTACAACCTGAGTCTTTTTTTAATGCCTGGTTGCAGTGATTAAGGCACACCTGAGTGTGTATCTGTCTTATTGTCCTCTTTCAACTGGGGATCTGCTGACTTGAAACAGGCAAAGTTTCTAAAAGTATCACAGCACATAGAATTTGTGTCCATGACAAATTTCACAGTAATACCACACAGACATATAGACACACACACACAAATTACTAAAACCTGTTTTCTCTTTTTAACCCAGATGAAGTTGTTTTAAAATTTGAAAATGGTAAAGCAAGAGTTAAGAATACATTTTATGAAACATTACCAGTGGCAGTTAATGGAAATGGACCCACCAAGGTGAGTGACAGTGACTTCTACCTGGCTCCGTATGTCTTGGAGACAGACTATGGAGTGATATGTGGAACGCCATCTTTAAAAAAATATTTAGAAGGCTTTATTTTGGTGCTAACATTTTACTTTCGTCGTCTTTTATACAGTATGACATCAGACAATTAAGTTCACAAAGTCATCCTAGAAAAAGTGCTAATATCTCATTGCTGAGTATCACCAGTCACCTTTGAAGTGCTCCCCTTGGGAAGCTGTGCACTGACGTCAATGCCTAGTGCACTGTTCAGAGCGTTTTTTGAGCTCTTTTAATGAAATGGCTATTAGAGGTGTCATCATACGAAGTCTGACAATTAAGTTCAGGAACTTATTCTAGTAAAAGTACTTTAAAGAGTGGACTAGTTGCCGGCATCAGTGCATAGCTTCCCAAGGGGTGTACTTTGAAAGTGATGTAGTGATACTTAGCATGAGGTATATGTAGCAATTTTCCTAGGATACATTCCCAAACTTAATTGTCATCTGTATTCATGCTAATTTATCACAGTGATTATTTACCTTTTTTCCTGAGTCTCTTATGAGGCCTTTAGCCTGTGAATTACAGAAATCACATGTATCTTGTTTATTTTTGTTTCCCTGGGGTCCAGCACATGTATAATATATACGAGGTTTTGAATAAATCTTGATTGAATGTCAAGAATCTATAAACCGTTTAATGACCTAGCATTATTCTCTCGAGTGGTAAGGCAGATTTGTTTTTTTCTGGCAAGGCAAACAATTATAAAATTCAGTAAATTTCCCTAGGAATATTTGATGAATGAACTCATAACTTTCCCCAGGCAAATTGGCTAAATGGACGTATTTTGTCTCTGAAGTCTTTTAACCTGTGTAGTTTCTGTTTTAGCTTTCTGTGTGTGATACCGTTAGTGCCAATTGAGCAAGAGCTAGTACAACCCAATTTCCCCCCAAACTGAATAGTGTGCTGTTCCTACTTGGTAATAAACTGTGATACTTTAATCAAACCTGAATGTCTTTAAAGAATGAGCTTGGTCCTGAGATGGGTAAGGCCTGATCTTCAGTGATTTAAATTCCTTTGAAATTTCTATGAGATGTTTACTAGAGCATTAAAGAGTGACTAAAGGACTTATTACAGGCAAAGAAGCACTATTCCTTAATAATTTAGAGGGACCCTATGTGTTGCAAGAAATGTTAAGTCTTCTTGCAAAACGTACAGTTGGGCTATCACTGTTTTTTTCATTTTAAGCTATGTGAGGAGCCTATTATCTTTTTCCTCACATGAAAAAGATATCTATCCTATCTAGTTAATTTCTTTCTTTTTTCTTTTCTTTTCCTTTCTTTCTTTCTCTCTCTCTCTCTCTCTTTCTTTCTTTCTTTCTTTCCTTTTCTTTTCTTTTCTTTCTTTTTTTTTTTTTTTGACAAAGTCTCACTCTTTCACCCAGGAGAGGGTGCCATGGCATCTTAACTCATGGCAGCCTCAAACTGGTGGACTCAAGTGATCCTCTTGCCTTAGCCTTGCTAGTAGCTGGGACTTCAGGCACCTGCCACAATGCCTGGCTAGTTTTTTAGCAGAGATGAGGTCTGGCTCTTGGTTAGGCTCCAGCTCCTGAACTCACCATCCTCAGCCTCCCAAAGTGCTAGTATTATAGGCATGAGCCTCCATGCTGGCTCTAGTTAATTTCTAATTATTCTGTGTGATAATAAAAAACAGAGTACATTTCATTATAAAAATTATTTTAGGTATAAAATAAAAGCTTGAGAGAAATTGTACATGTAAGCATTCAATTACTGTAATACTTTATTTCATAGTATTATGTTAAAGTTAAATAGATTCACATGAGTATATCATGTTACATTCCCCTTGTCCAAGCTGATGGGGAAAGAAAGCAGACTACTCTGAACTTTATTATAACTTTATTATAATATATATATATATAATTTATAACTTTATTATAACTTTTAAAAAGGTTGAAAAGATTTTTTGTGTGTGTTAGTCTTGCCCTTGGTTTCATGTATTACCTTGTTTAGAGAGGGATATTTTGTTAGTAATTTTGAACTGTAATATTGATCTAAATGACTGCATTTAAGCCAATTTTTTCATTTAAAGTTATGTATATAACCTGTAAAAGATAAGTGTGTTTATAGTAACAAAATATATAAAAAGGAGTTTATTTTTTAGCTACTTTCTTGAAATGTCATGCTATTAGAAAGAATAATTTAAAAATTATAAGTCATTTTAAAAATCACTTATAGCTTCTTTCAGTTCTTATATATTTTCAGTTTATATCTGAGAGAATTCATATTTTTCATTAAAAATTTTATGTTTCTCAATTAGCATTTTATTTGAAATATTTCTATATTCTAAAAAATTCTTTTCATGCTTATCTAGATAATAATGTGAAATAAATCAGGTTTTAGATAGACATGATTTCAGGTTTGAAACTTTACTTTTTATTCTTGAAGCTTATTTATTTGTATTAATATAAAATGCTTACTTTAATGCCCAGCCTTTTAAAAAAAATACATGAATTAGATAATATGTATCTTAAGTTAATCATTATGAAATTAGTGATATTTTTATACAAAAGGAAATTAAGCATGAGAAGATCAAATTACCTGATATATATATGTTTATAGAAATATATATATGAAAATACATATATTCATACACATATATATATGAAAATACATATATTCATATACATATATATATGAAAATAAGTCATTTCTGAAGTTAATTTGATTTGTGTTAAAAATAGGGGCTTTACTTTTGTATCAAAGCCACACGTGGGTGGGTCACTATGACCTTGATTCACTGGATAAATTTTGAAAGGAAAGAAAGAAGGAAAGGATTTGGTTAGACAAGTTTCTCTGCCAATGAAAATGACATCATACTTGAAGACATTTTGATATTATGAAAGAATAATCAGGAAAATACTACTACTTATTAGCCTGGGAGTGCCCAGAGTGACGCCACTACGTAAACAGTCTTCTATTCTTCCCACAACTGCCAGCAGAAATATCTGCAGTCCTTATGCAGAAAACAGATGTGAACAGAGGGTGGCAGTGACGAATGCCTTCTGCCTGTGTGGTGAGACAGCTGAAAGAGAGAAGTTTCCAGTCAAAAGTGAAATAACTCAGAAAGAGAAAGGCAGATACTGTACACTCTCGCTTATAAGTGGAGGCTAAATAATGTGTATACATGGACAAAGACAGTTTAGGGAAGAATAGTTTAGGGAAAATCGATAATAGATAATAAATAAAATTACTATACTTTCTGTGATTTTAATACCCAGTAGTAGTAAGAGCCTTGGAGAAGGACGGGTAGGAGAGTGGGAGTGGGGTGAGGGATGAGAAATGACTTCATGGGTACGAGATACACTATTGGGGTGGTGGTCACACTAAAAGCCCAGACTTGACCACAGTGCAACATGTTCATGTTTCAAAACTGCACTAGTACCCCCCAAATTTATACCAATTAAAAGAAATGTAATGTTTCTAAAAATCTTAATTATCTATGAAACAAGTTGACATAAAAAGCAGAAAGTAGAAAAGTTACAAAATAAAGTTTTAATTCTGAAAACTAAAAGTTATGCCTTTTTATATTTTAACCTTTTAAAACTATCAATCATTCTCCTATTCATACAGGGATTCTATTAGACTAATCAATAATTCAATGATATAAGTAATAATTTTTTTATGAGATTTCTAAGACAAAGAATGTACCAGCTTTTATGTGTGATGGGGAGTTTAGATATGAACAAAAACATTTGGGGGATTTTTCTTTTCTTAAAAAAAAATTCTAGGATATTTAAAACCAAACTGTGCGTTTCACACTAGCAATTTTTCATCTGTCAGAAATCATGCTTAATTGAGGATGTATTTTTCTGTAAATCTTTTTTTCCTTCAAAACCATATTATTTTGTAAAACAGAAGTGATTGATTGTTTGAATTTTTCATTTGAAAATTAACAGTAAAATTTTTATTTCTGTTTTTATTATAAAGGCAGATAAAAGGACCACATTAACTCATCAAGTGTCATGAAGAAATGTCACAAATACATGTTTCCTGCCTTATAATTTGTTTCTTGAATTATAACGTCCTCCAAGATGACTGTGAATGAGTTACTTGTCCATGTCTTTTGAGTTTGCTGTAAAGATTAATTGTAGCTATATTTACCGTGTTTGTGTGATACAAAGAATTTCTCACCTTTAATTAACAGTGTTCTTGTTTCAGCAGCATTTATTTCAGTTTCAGCACAATCAAAACATTTGGACAGACTCCCAGATATTTGGGAGGAATGTGCTAACGTGGTACTCGACGGACTACCTCCTCCAGTCCACATTAATCATCTCCCTGAGGGCTGTAAGAAGCTAGAAACATCTAGTTGGCAGTTCTTTACGTTTTTTGACCCCCATATTTAACATTTAACATATGGACATTTTCTCTTTTTAACCGCCATATTTAGCAGCCCATAGGCATTTTTTCTTTTTATTTCACCCCAAGTTTCCAGTAAATAATTATTGATCCAATAAGCATAATGAGGAGTCTAAGTGCTTCCTCTTGATAGCGTGGGGCAAAATTATAGGTTTTAGAAAGGATGAGAAGAAAACTACAAATGCTCTTACTACTACTAGGTATTAAAGTCATAGAAAGTTTAGTAATTTTATTTATTTTCTATTATCGATTTTTCTCTAAACTGTTCTCACTGTAGGGAGGGATATTCAAGATATTTTTGAGGATTTAGAGCAAATCTTACTGAGTTTAGCTTTGTCTCCGCTTGTTTTTGCTCACCCCTCTCATAACACACACACACACGCACACACACACACACACACATACACGATCACAGATTTTACAGTTAAAAGGATGCCAGTATCTGCTTAAGGTGAGAGGAGTCTCAGTGGAAGCCGCTGAGAGATCTGAAGAAGACATCTGTGGAAAGCAGAATCGCTCTTTAGCTTATTGTTGATAGGATTTGTGGGGTGACTGCCCTAGCTCAATTAAAAATGCTATCTTTTGGTTTGGTGCCTGTGGCTCAAGCGGAAGCAGCTAAGGCGCCAACCACATACATCTAAGGTGGTGGGTTCGAATCCAGCCTGGCCCGCCAACAACAATGATGGCTACAACCAAAAAATAGCCAGGCGTTGTGGTGGGTGCCTTGGTCCCATCTGCTTGGGAGGCTGAGGCAGGAGACTCGCTTGAGCCCAGGAGTTGGAGGTTGCTGTGAGCTCTGATGCCATAGTACTCTACCCAGGGGGACAGCTTGAGGCTTTGTCTCAAAAAAAAAATGCTATCTCTTCCTGATGCGTGCCCCTGAGGCACTGCTCAGATGCCTAATTTGTAGTAGGACAATTTCCTAGAAGAGCTTAGTGCCTCTCAGCGATGAAAGTTACTCATTATTTGTTTTGTGTAGTGACATGTTGGTCAGATGTCACATGACTATTATTCTATTTACTATAGGTGTCTGGCCTTTAAACATACTTATCTTATTATGAAATTACTGTGCATGTGACTCGTATTTCTTTTTTTGCTAAGAGGTTTCAGCCCATTTAAACTGTGTTTCCTTGTTTGACATATTTCTTTTTAATTGTGTTTTCCAGTATTAATACTTGTATGATGTGAAATTAAATGACCTTTACTTTTTCTTTTGCCATTTCTACTTTGTCCTGATTTATGATTTGTGTGCACCTCCAGGTGATATATTACTGGAATTACTAAAGAAATGCAGTAACTAATGCAGAAAACAGGATTTGAACTTAGATGACCCCTAGAATGAGAGAACATTAGTGAGAGAGGCCAATGTTTTTTTAATGCCATTTTCCTTCCTTTATTAGATTCTCTTGAATTATTTTGGAAACTATATACCTAATTCGTGGACCCAGGATAAGGGCTGTACTCTTTGTGAATCTGATACGATTGACCTGTCTGCGGTAGATGTAAGTGGAATTGGTTATGTGCAGAATATAGTTATTAAAAGGTACATTGTCATAAAATGCTGTGATTCATAGGAGAAAAAGGTAAATTATTTTATAGTTTTGATTATATGGTAAATAATGGACTCACCATGTTAAAACACAGTGACTCAGAAAATTACTAAATTTGTGTTTCTTAACTGTTTCTAAAAGCAGAGCCTGTTAATAGAACCCTATGGAAGGGATGTGGTCATTACTATTTCATAGCTTACTATGACTGGGTACTTGTGTGCTGTTTTAGTCTGTTAGTTTGGTCAAAGCATTGAGTAAAAATTGAAGAAAAATCATTACAATGCTTCAACATTTTTATTGACTAATTTTATATGTACTTGATTTTCAAATTTGATGATTTAAAAAATAACATATAATTACAAGGCTGTCCTAACTATATATAATAACTGACTTAAGCATCATAAAGCCCCTAACATAGGTAATGTTACTGACTCAGTTTCACAAATGAAAAATCTGAGGTACATATAGGTAAGTAATTTGCTTGGGGCACATTAAGTGTTGGAGTGGGGATCTGAGTTTAGATAATCTGGCTCCAGACCTTGTATTCTTGGCCCCTGGGAAATTTTATCTGTATGTCATATACATACTGTGTATCAGGCATGATGTATCTTGTATGTATTTCATAGAGAATCATATTTTATGATTTATACTTTGAGGGCTGGAAATACTTATTATTAATCTATAAAACATTTTTATGGTTCCTTGTTCTGTCTCAGCCAGAGCAGTTTTAGGATATCCTGTAGTAACGCTGTTCTTCCAAAAATTTCTCTAGTGACTTAGAAGAATACTGTGTGTGGGAATGATTGGATTCCAGGATGTTACTTTGACATTAAGACTGATTCTTCCCTTTATTCACCATAGGTTACTGAGTACCTCCAGCATGCCACATAAATAGAAACAATGTAGGCAAAAGTAAAACTAGGAAAATAGTTATGGTGATTCCCCAATCCAGGCAAATACAGAATACTTATACTGTCATATACTCAAGCTCCAAAATTCAGTTCTTATCACTGTTTAAAAGGAGGATGAAGAGTAACTTGTGTACATTTAGGAGTTTATGAATAGAGTCTATTTTACGTGAAAATGTTTTTTGGCTCTTCTATTACATAACATGCTAAACGTTTCCTATCTGGAAAGAATGTCAGAATATTTCTGAATGAAGTTGCATATGAAATGCCTTAAAAATTCATCCCGAGATCTTTTTTGCTGAAAGTAGTGTATTCTGGAGTAAGAGTTAATACTTTTCATCTGTTTTGTTTCATGTCATAAACTTTCTGGTGCAAAGATAGAAAAACACTTAGATTAAATTTTTCCTCTGTTTGCATGTAGGAGTATATTACTTAATTCTTAAACTATTTTGTATTAGTGCCTGTTAAATATGCTAGAAAGGAAAGCTGTTCATTCCATTATACAAAGTGAAACTATGTGCTTTCTATATGCGATTATCATAGAATGGGCATATAACAATTAAAATTGTGTGGATAGTTAAATTCCAGGCCTGTCGTGTTTTTAGATGTAGCTAAAGGCAAGTTCTTTTATATGTAAGAATAATAGTGACCGTCTCAGTGGGTCGGTGGTTAAGTGAAACTTCACATACACACATATGACAAATAGATATGATGTATATATGTTAATAAAATGATATTTTATATGTATAAATTCAATAAATATGAAATGATCAGCCTCCAATAAATGCTGACTATTATATTGTTACCACTATTATATAATAACAAACTTATTTTCTTGTTTTTTTTTGTCGAGACAGAGTTCTACCCTTTGCCCTGAGCAGAGTGCAGTGGCATCGTAGCTCACTGCAACCTCAGACTCTGGCTTGTAGGCATCCTGCTGCCTCAGCCTCCGAAGCCACTGGGATTACAGGCGCTCGCCGCGGCACCCGGCTGGGTTTTTCCATTTTTTTCCATGAGTTGGGGTCTCACTCTCGCTCAGACAAGCCTCGAACTCCTGAGCTCAAGCAATCCTCCCACCTCAGCCTCCCAAAGTGCTGGGATTACAGGCGTGAGCCACCGCGCCCGGCTATAACAACAAACTTAGATTAAAAATAGAAATATGCAGTGTGAAAGCCCAGCTTTTTGTCTAATACTCAATGTGTTCTGAGTCACTTAACTTTTTTAAATCGAATTTTCCTCAGCTGCAAGTTTGGAAAAATAAATCACTTCTAAAGCTATTATGAAATTGATATGAAATGCATTATTTCATTTGGTAAGAGAGAATTGTGACCTACTTTTAACTTATTTTTTTCCTATCAAATAGAGATCTTTTATAAGGGAAATATTTTATATGTAGCTCTTGGTATCTGTTTATTCATTTAATAGTATTCGGGTAAGTGAAAGAATTGATATACAAAAGAAATATGCCAGCATACAACATGTACTTTTATGAAAAAAAATAAGTTATAATACCATATGTGAAAAAATGGGAAGAGGTAACTAATTCAGTACTTAAATATATATGCTGTTTTAAAAAATCTGTAATTTTTAAGATCAGGCTTTAAGGCATGACTATCTTCTATATAGTTATGACAATAACAGTGTTACAGGGTGGATGGGCATCTGTCTTCCCATCCGATTGTACGTTTTTGAAGCCAGGAACTTTCATTCCTTTTGCTAAGTGTTACTCATCACAAGGAACTGTCCTGTCTAGTGGATATTTCCGATGTTATTACACAATGAATAAAAGATAAACCACACACTAAAACACACCTAAAATATTTGAGAAGACATGTAAGATAGCTATGCTACATATGATAAAATATATTTATGAAAGAAAATAGCTTTTCACTGATATGATAGAATAAGTAAAAGACAATCGGTAAAATGAGAGTAAAGAGGATGTTTAAGGATAAAAATAAAGTCTCAAGTCCTCCACGATCACTTTTATTGAACTACAAATTAAGCACTAAACCTTATGCATGGAAAAGAAAATGGAAACACAATGGGCATTTTGGTTTCCTGGATGAAGCTGTTGAAAAAGCTTTCAGATATGAAGAAGTTTCTTCAAGGGCTGTAATAGAGGAAGCGTTGACTGGTGGAGTAGGCCGTACCTTTAATTACATTCATATAATAAATACGGCAGTGAGTTTCCTCTTTGAACCTAACTCATAACCTAGATGGGATTCAGTAAAGTCTTTTTAATGGGGCCCACAAAAATTTATTTCAAGTGTTAGAGAACTGCCACAGGGCAATTAAGATTTAGCAGATTATGTTCAATTGAGATTCTAAACGTTTTATGTTGTACTGATTAAGATTTGAATAGAATATAAAATAAAACCACACTGACGATAATTTATTTTTGTGTTTGGTATAAAACAAAGGTCCATCCAAATGTAACAATAGGTGTTTTTATTGAGCAACCAACTCCATTCCTACCTCGATTTCTGGATCTACTGTTGACACTGGATTATCCAAAAGAAGCACTTAAAGTTTTTATTCATAATAAAGTAAGTATTTGAGAAATGAATATTTTATGTGAAAGCTATTTTGTGGTTTGGGGGGAACTAACTGTTAGTTATGTCTAAAAAATGTGACTGGGCTAAATTCAGTGGAGAACGTACATCCCTGCCTTTTTGGTACCTAAGGATTTTAGAATCTGGAAACTCATCATAGTACTGGGTGAGCCATATGGAAATGTCAGTTTTTGTGGATCAAAAATGGCTAAGTATTATTAGTTATTTTCATATGACTTAATTTAATATATAATGAAGGAGATGTAAAAGGCCTTACATTCCTTTGGCTTTGGGTTCTTTTATAGAACTGGTCATTAAATTCTTTGCAATTGAATATATTATGATAACAGCAGAACTTGAAAAAGCTTCCAGACAGGATGTTGTTTTGATTTGATTAATCACACAATGGCATGCACTCCCCACAGGATTTCGATACCGTTATTTCCTTCAAAAATGTCCAGAGCCTCCGATTACCTCCCACAGATAATCTTGACTTAAAGACATTTTTCCTCAGTTATCTTGTTTTATCCATATCTCTCTTTACTGTTCCAACATTTGCATTTAACATCACCTGGAAAGGCTGCATAACTGTGAGGTGTGTCATTTTCTGAGTCCTGTTTCAATTCCTTTTGTTTGCATTGTTCGTACAACTCAGCTAATCACGGACCTTTTCCAGAAAACATTGCAAATTTGCAGAAAATCAGCTTAACTAGGTTTGAAAGAGTGAAACACTGTGTATTTCCCTTGTAAAATGTGTCATAACATATATGTACTTACACTAACTGAAGTGTTTTGGTTTGTTTTCACGTATCGTGTCTTTTGTTCATATTTTCTCTACTTTCATAGGTCCTTAAATTCCTCAATGGCTGGAGTCTTTTTTTTTTTATCTTGTCTTTTATTTGACATTAACTTGATGCAGCTTTTACGAGAAATGATTTTTAACAAGCTGTGAAAAATACCAAATTTTCGGAAAGCTTAGAGACTTGATACATGAAAAACTCTGAAGTGCTCTGATAATGGAGATGGTAATATTATCTGCATCTCATCACAGTTGAATTGAATCGCACAAATTGACCATATTCATGTTGGTTCCCCATTAATCTGTCAATTAAATTTCATTAAACTTCCCTTTGTTTTCTAAACACAAAACTTTATACATAACCATTAATTTATCTTTCTGGCTTTAAAGAATATTGTGCCAATTTATTTTGTAAAATATGATTGTTTATATTTCCAACTCAGATTAATATCTATCGTATTTAATAGATATTTTTTTCCCAGAATCTTATGACATATCCAAGATGATTCTCTAAAATTCTCATGGAATCACAACCACTTTTCTTTATCCAGTTAGAAACATTTTATACTATTTGGAAGTTAGTTGTTTATGCAAGAACGTGTGAAGGATTTTCAGTACTTATGCAAGGAACTATCTAGCAGTACATGTTGAATGAATTTTGACATATCTTCTCCTTTGAGAGATATTAATATGTATTTTTGATTTCTCATGTGCCATTTAAATGATATTTTCATATAACATGTGTAATATAGTTATTATTTTGTCTGTATTTGAATGGTTATGTGGATTGTAGAATTCACAACTTTGAATTTGACGCACGCCCTGCATATGAATACCTCAGTTACTGCCTCAATTTCTAATTTTTGATTTTTACAATATGTTACAGGAAGTTTATCATGAAAAGGACATCAAAGTGTTTTTTGATAAAGCTAAACATGAAATCAATACTATAAAAATAGTAGGACCAGAAGAAAATCTAAGTCAAGCGGAGGCCAGAAACATGGGAATGTATGTTTTAATAAATTTAAGTTTAAATTTATTCAATCATTCTACTATAGAACATTTTAAAAAATAAACTTTTTTTTCAAAATTAATATGCTAAACTTGGGTGTCTCAACTATTTCAGTCTGTCTATACACACACAACAGCAAGAATATGTCTGTGTTTGTATTTATTTACATGTAAAGGACCAGAGAAGTTACTTACATTTTTTCATTCAACAGCTAGAAGTCCATGTATTTTATCAAAGTATGAATTGAGCTACAGATCAAGATTTTAAAAAAATGCAGATAAATGAATAATATGACTGCCATAGCTGTGACTTAAAATTAAGTTTATTATTTGAAGGTTGTGTCAGGTAAAACTGTGTATAGGAGTAGCTACTTCTCCTAGTGATCTAGAGAATAGCGTGATCCCCAGAAGAGGTATTTTAGGCCCTTTGTTTATCCTCTGCAATGCTTTAGACTATTAATAAATTCTGGTAATAGTAAAAAACATGTATTCAATGAATGTTAAACAGATATGCCAGGCAATGAGTTTAGAGCTGCTGGAAAAAGGGTAGAGATGTGGTTTCTCACCTTTAGGGAATACCTTATCTACTACCGTGTTTCCCTGAAAATAAGACACTGTCTTATATTTATTTTTTCTCAAGAAGACACACTAGGGCTTATTTTCAGGGGATGTCTTCCTTTCTGCACCGAAATGCTCACTAGGTCTTATTATTGGGGTAGGGCTTATATTTAACAAATGCATAGAAATCCTACTAGGGCTTATTTTTTGGGTAGGCCTTATTTTCGGGGAAACACGATAGGAACCCCAATGCCTTGACTCTGGAAACTCAGGCTCAAGGTGATGGATTCTATCTGGGAGGGGATGATATTGGAATAGGCAGAAAATAGGGCTCTGAGAAACCAAACTGATGTTGTTACTAACAGGTCCATAACTTATTCTTTGGAGAATCCCTTGGCCCCACATTCAGAACTTTCTTTAATATTTTTCACAGTTGTAACAAGTTTTTCTGTCTAGTATCCTGTTGGGCAGTTTCTTAGAAAAGTACACACAGCAGCAAAAAGTGATAACAGAGACATACAGTGTAATGGGGATCTCAGAACTAGGAAAGGGATAACCCCAGTTATCACAACTAGTTCATTCCCTGGTATTCCTGATGATAATTTTACAGAGGCTACCAGGAAAAGCAGACATAGGCTTCTTACCTCTAGTAAGAAGGGAGGAGAATAACTATCTTAGAAATAATTCCACACAAATTATATTTAAAAATATTAGTATGTAAAGGTCATATAATTAACTTATATCTGAATTGTTGAAGATACATTTTGTTTACATGTGCATGTGTAAGAAAAAACATTTTGGTTTGCGAAAAAGTTCATTAATGCGTTGAGGTGAATTACTTTTCCTTATCAGAGAAGATTAGGTATTAAATTAGAAGCTGCCATTCTGACTGGAGGCTTTGTACTTTGAAAAAATATATTTTTATCTGGCCTAAAATTTTAGTGTCAATCTGCCTATGAAATTTGTGTTGATAAGTTGAGCATTTTAAAATTTAAGATAATATTTATCCTTTTGAATATTTTCTCATTCTTTTGGTTAAAATTTGTTTTACATGTAAGAAGCTTTATATTAATATTTTTCAACCAGTAGTTATTTATCTTATCTAATTCTCATTGGCAGGGATTTTTGTCGTCAGGATGAGAAGTGTGATTATTACTTTAGTGTGGATGCAGATGTTGTTTTGACAAATCCAAGGACTTTAAAACTTTTGATTGAACAAAACAGGTACTATTTAAGGTTCACTATCTGATTTATTAAAATGGTAGTTTCACACATTTATGTAGATATACTATAATTACTTGTCTGTGTTTAGTAAATTGTAGGAACTTTCATTAAGATTTTTTTTTCCATACCTTAAAACTTTCCATTCTAATTAATTACTTTTCTTTTGAAGGAATCATAGAAATATTTCTAACTGATAACTAATATTATTTATAATCACAAAAATGATTATATTTGGTGCATTTTTCTATTTCAGTCTAGGTAAAATTATGATATATCTGATACTGATAAAGTTTAGAAACATTTTATTCCCTGTAGATATATTTAAATAGAATTTCATAAAATTTACAACCTAAAAAGTTATGGATACAGAGCTCTAGTTCTTAAGTGTAGACCAGGCGTAGTTTCTTATGTTGACCATTTGTTGACCAGCTTGTTACATTCCCTTGGGTGATCAGCTTACAGAGGTGATCAGCTTACAGAGGTGAGGTTTCTTTCAGATTCAATTAGAATTTGAAAGGAATTCCAGAATTTCAAATCATTCTCTGACCAGATTTGTAGTTTTACTTACTCTTGAAGTGATTATCACAGGACAGTGCCTACTTTCATTTAACTGAATTGGGAGAAAGACATTATATGTATGAGCTTATAATATTAGTCCTTATTTGTTAATAGTGATAT